CGCATTAGGTTGTGCCCCGAGGGCTCCGGAAAAAGGGAAGTTACACGGTACCGGACATTTCAAGGACATGTTGTCATAGATGCAAAAAGACAGACAGGCTCAGTGAAGGTAAAGGTTGTTGACCTTGTCAGTGCAGATACCGGCCCAGGACGTGACTGCCCACCATCACTGCTGTAGTTCAAGTTTAATTTCAGACCCTCCTTGGTGGGGGCTTTAGCTCTGATTGTGCAAGGCCGCCCGCAGGCCTCCCCTGAGCTGTCAGGTCCACAGGTGACGTGGGTCCTGTCCTCTTCGGCCTGAGCAAAGGGAATCCTGGCACCTGCTGCTGAGGGACACCTGCCCTGGCCCCTCCCTCCAGCTGCCTCTTGAGACCTTTGACCCCTGGCCCTCTCTCTGTCTCGCTGGCACCTGGGGGGAAGGGCAGGCCCCAGGGAGCCAGCCTTGCCTCTGGGCAGCCCCTCCTCACCTGCACCTGGTCAGTACCCCTGACTCTGAGCTCCTGGGGAGCAGGGGCCCAGGTCCAAGGACTCTCCGTGGCATCCGGTGGTCCCAGGGCAGGGCGTCAGGCTCAGGGCAGTGTCCTAGGTCTGGGGCCAAGTGTTTTTCCTGCCGACCTCACCCTCATACCAACGTTGGCCTGTCCATGTAATGGAACAGCATTCAGCCTTAAACAGGAAGAAAGCCGTCTGGCCAGTGCGGCTCTGTGGCTGAGCACCGACCTGTGAACCAGGAGGTCATGGTTGGATTCCCTGTCCTATTTATTTTTAAAAAATTGTTTAAAGTATTACATATGTTCCCATTTCCCCCCATTAATCCCCTCAGCTCCCCCACCAGGTCCTCGCCATCCCATTGTCTGTCCGTATATGCGTACAAGGTCCTTGGTTGATTACCCCCCCTTCCCTCCAAGATTTCACACTCTGTTCCACGTTCAAGAGGCGGCCTAGTGATGATTCCCTCTCATCATTGATGTTTCTATCTCTCTCCCTCTCTGAAATAAATTAAAAAATACATATACAACTGGCTGGTTTGGCTCAGTGGACAGAGCGTTGACCTGCGGACTGGGGGGTCCCGGGTTCGATTTCTGGTCAGGACACATGCCGGGGTTGTGGGTTGGTCCGTATTGGGGGGCGTGCGGGAGGCAGCGGATCAGTGATTCTCATCATTGATGTTTCTGTCTCTCTTTACCTCTCCTTTCCTCTCTTAAATCAATATAAAAATATATTTAAAAAATAAAATCAAATCCATCTGGACTCATGCTGTGAAACTTTCCCTGCACCGAGTCAAGAACCCACAAAGGCCAGGCCGGCCCGAGGCAGACCTGCTCAGGGCCAGGCCTCCGTCACAGTAACAGGTGCCCCCGGCACAGCCCACACTCACACCTGAGGTTCCCATCAACCCTCCTGCCAGCCCTGGCTCTGACCCCCAATGACAGTCCCTCTGTAAACGCTGTGAGATGCCTTCTTTCATGGCCTGTAGTGGCCACAGGTAGCAAGAGGACAGTTCAGAAGGAGAAAATGCTACCATGAAACTCTGGCTTGTCCCTTACCCACAGCTGCTAACAGGTGAACGGTGCACCCTGGAACCCAGAGCCAGGGTCTCCTGGCGTGTCGCTGTCTGCCTGGGCTGCCGCCAACCCTGGGCCAGGTGGAGGCTCGGCCACCCCCTTGCTTGCCCAGGGTGCTGCCCCTGAAGGGCACCCTGACCTTTCCCTGATGAACTGTGTGCTCCAGCATGGCAGGGTCCCACTCGAGGCCCAGATGGCAGACAAACATGCCAGGCAAGCCCAGGTGGGTGCCCACAGCAGCAGGAAGGTCAGAAAACATCTTTATTGTGGGGAAGGGGGTCCCAGGTAGAGACATGTAGACAGACACACAGACAGGGCTGCCGCAGAAAGCCCAGGGAGCTAGGAAAGCAGACAGCGTCCTGGGAGGCTGGGTTCCCAGGGGCTGGGCTGAGAACCCCCGCCCCATCTGCTCCTCCGTCCGCTCCGTGCACGGGCAGGGAGGCCAGGACTCAGGCGTGCAGGAAGCGGTTGAAGGCGTTGTAGGCAGACTCCAGGTCAAACAGCATCTGGCGCACTTGGTTGTCGTCCAGCTCGTCGGACGCAGACATGCCGCTCAGGGTCTGCAGCCTGGGGGGCGGGAGCACAGCGCTGGAGTGGGCTCAGAGGGAGGGACCCCAGGGCCACCTGGAAGGGCCAGACACTCACCACTGGCTGACGGTCTGGCGGCCCTCGAAGTCGGGCGGCAGGTGGCTCATGCGGTGCATCGTCTCCATCAGCTCCCGCAGGTCGGGCTGG